CATTGATCCAGCCTATTCAGATCCAACTTGTATCATTGCAGTGCAAAAAAAAAAATCTCAGAGAAGCCATGGCTTTTTTTGGTTTCGTCAAAAGTGCTCTTTCCAGACGCTTGGAGAAGCAGCAGCATTGGGCAGGGGAGGTGACAAGGCTCACTTAACAGATTTGGAGGAAGAGGTGAACTAGATTTAATTCACTCTAGATTGCTGGCATTGCCATATTTCTTTGTGGTTGGGGTTTTTTTGTTTGTTGTTTTTTTGTAGGTTTTTTTGTTGTTTGTTTTTTTCTGAAGTGTGGAAAGGAGCAAAACCTGGGGTAGGAGAGCTTGGCAGCAGCGGCCTCCCGGTTTTGAACCACAGAAAGCTCTTGCCCTGCTCAGGACTATTCTGTTTATGGAGTAGGAGGAGGCACAGCTAGAATGAGTCAGGCTTCTTGGCATTTGCCTTTTACCATGGGATTTCTAAAGCAATAACTGGCCTGTATTCCCACAGAAAGGTTCAAGCAAAGTGTAACATCCAGATTTAGAGAGGCCCAATGGCAACACGCTCACAACAATACAGTCTTGTTATAATTGCTGTGCAGGCTGCGCAAATGTCCTTTGGGCTGCTCAGATGAGACTGCTCTTCATGTCGAGCAGAAGATGATTGCTGCATGGAATATCTCCTTATTGCCGGCATGGAAGGGTGGTGTTATTTGCCTGATTGATTAATTAACAAAAAAGACTTCCTATTCCCTTTCTCACAAGCATGCTAATTCTCCAAAAGCTTAGAGTTTCATTAATGGGAGGGAGTTTATAATAACTCATTTCCATTGCTCGTTAGTGATTAGATTTTTTTCCTCCTTCAGTGTAATTTTTACTCATGGGTAAAAGAGGATTGTGAACAGTCTTAGAATTTCTGACTCCAAATTCCGCTAATTTGCCCAGAACTGGAGTTTTACTGGTCTGTGTGGATATTTCTGGGGCTTCCTCTTGATCTAACGACTTATTCCTCAGTTTGTCTAGAGCTTTTACTGAGGCCATTTCTGTAGTATGTTAGTAAAGTTTTTCCTGGAGCAAGATGCTGACTGATATGAGCTTGGGTACTCCAGTGTGGGAGATCAAAAGGCATTGCTCAACACAGCATCTCTAGGTGTAGCCTTTAGGGGAGCAGACTGGTAAGAGTGGGATAACAGCCTGCAAAAGAATGGCCAGCTCCCTATGTGAAAGCACTGAAAAATTAGGGTTGTGGTTGCTGCTATCACCAAGGGAAGATGGAGACATTTGAGATGGTAGTAGCTATCCATGTGATCACCTCTGCAGGTCTTGGCAGGCCTGGGTCTCTGGGACTCATGTCCTTGTTCTGATCTTGTCTTCTACTTTTCCTGCATCTGGCCTGGTCCAGTGCTGAGCAGGCCAGAGACCTCATCTTTGAGGCTCTAACGTAAGTTTTATGTCTGCTGCTGAAGAACTGAGAAGCCGTGCTGTGGTGCTTTGTGAGTAAATCTAAGGAGTGTTTGACTGACCACCCAAACTGGTGACTGTGATGCTTTCGTCACCAGGGTCTCAACCAGATGCCTTGATGATCCAGATCTTGCCTTCTCCCCTTCAATCCATTTTCTTCATGTATGTGGCTGAAAACACTTTGTTATTTACTCATTAAATATAGCTTCATATTGTGCCCAAAGGAGAGACACTGGTGTGTTCAGCATTTGAAATCTTCTAGAAGGAGACATAGCTGAATGTGGAGGAGGCTACTTGCAAAGAACATCTGTAATGGATGACCAGAAAATTTAGACCAGTTCCTAGAGCACTGCCTGTTTTCTCACCTTTAAGACTCCATAAGTCCAGGTAAGGTGTTCTTGGTTCAATAACTTGTACTTTCAGTTGCAGCCTAGAAGATCTCTGTATCTCATGCCATATGTTTACAGTGGAATGCATACAATTGCAATAGTTAACTAAATTGCCTTTGTAGCCAGTAGGGATGAATGAACTTCTCCAAATTGTTCAGCCCACTAAGGAGTGAGCTGAATTGGAGCCTTAGTCTCTTACGGAGTCCTTTGGAGCTGCTTCTTTTCTTTCTGTTTCAAGAGTAATAGAGAAAGAGCTGCATGGCTGCATGACTTAGTGCTGGTAGAGGGGCAAGCTATCCTAAGAAAACCCGTCTGTCTCTGGATAACAGTGGCTCTCTAATGCTTTAAACAAAGTCACTTAATTTCATATTTAAAAAGACTAGTCATGTAAACACTATCAGATCCAGTGTGGCAGCTGGAACATGTTGATGTGATTTCTGGTAGTCCTCTGACCATACCTCACCCAGAAAGCCCTTCTGCTTGGGAGCACAGCTGTGACCAACTTACCTGTGGGATTTCTTTGATTCCCAGTGTGACTGGTCCCTCATAGTAGAGGTGTTCTGAAAAGCAGAAAATGGTGATGGGTGGTTAGACATGCAGCACATGAAGGAAACAAGCAGCTGATTGTAGATGCATTTTTCTAATAGCACTTCAAAGTGCTTTAGTGACAAGTGTTATGGAACTGCAAAGTGCTCTATACGCAGTCTTGCAACAGCTCTCCTGAGAGATGTCAGGATGTGTACTGCCTTACGGGGAAAGCAGGGCAGAGCCTGGGCTCAAGGAGGACCTGCAGCCCCCATCTGAGTGGAGGAGGTGGGCATGGCTTTGCACAACTGAGTGGGTGTTCCGATGTCAGCTTGTCCCCTGCAAATGGGGAAATGAAAGGGGAGGGTGATTGCCAGGCACAAGTCCTTTAGCATGATGTATTAAACACCTGCAGATGCAATAGGTGAACTGTACTGTTTCAGTAACTTTAAGAAAAGCCAATCTGATCTGAGTGTTCCTGTAGGTGTGGACTCATGCTTGCTGAACATGTCCTTAAAGTAATAAGAATGTGTCTCTCACTGCTGAGGGGAGCGTTCACCAAGGACATACGTATGATGCTAAAGCCATCACAGGTTGTGTTGGTGTCTGGAATAGAGCTCAGGAGTTCCACCTTCCAGTCCTCATCACGAGGCATGCTTGCTTTTTGCTGTTGAAGAAAGGGCAACTTTGGCATTAATGGACAGAATTAGCAAGCTGTTCTACAGTTCCTCCTACTTTTTCATATCTTACTGGGCCAAACTGTGCAGACTTGACTGAAAATAAGATTTGTAGATATTTCAGTATTTCAGAACTTCTTGCAGAACTTGCCCTCCACAAGTTGTGGAAAAATCTAAAAACTGTTAAGGATTCTCTTTTGTAGGTGTCATGAAATTAGTCTTCACTTTGACAGTGACAGAGGAGTGTTTCATCGTATTTATATGTGTATGTGCTGGCATCTTGATGCTTGTCACTTCTAGGGAGTTGTTTTAGTCCAGTCTCACTGTGCTGGTTTAAACCCTTTCTTATGAAAGGTTAGACCAAAGGTTTGTAAGATGTTTGTGTTGTGTGGTCCATCCCACCATGCACTAAGTATCTGACTTGGAAAAGAGTCCACAGAAGGCCTTCCCCACTCATGCTATGAAATGTTAGTCAATGCATTGTAACAAACTTACGTGAAAGAATCATGACTTTAAGATAAACTAGGAAAAGAGTAGGAGAAGCCTGAGACATGATCAATGTTCTACACCTTTGCATTAATGAGGAGTCTGTTAAATGTAATGCCCTGATGATCCTGGGAGGTGGAGAAGATGCAGAATGTCAGTGTTGCCCTGAAAAACCTAATACAAAACAGAGAATAGAACAAGTATGTTTTGGCTTGTTGCTCTTAAACTGATCAACTATGCTGCAGCAGGCATACTGCACTCATTCCCCTCCGCATCTCTGGCTACTTCACCTGGACACAAAGAAATCTTTTTCCTTTTCCAAGAGCAGTCACCATCGCTGCTCGCTTCTGTGTGCGAAGCAAGAGCTCTGGAGTCTGACACATCTCCGCTGCAGAGAGCGGTGAGTCAAGAAGTTTAAAAATATAGTACAACCCACTTAGTTCACAACTTTATTGGAGCCTAAATGGGAGTTAAAGGCACTGCAGACTGCATGACTTGGGTGATGAGTGACTCCTCTGGGTCTTGAGCTGTACGTGTGTCTGTGTGCTAAGCCGTGCTATGAGCTGCCCCCTTGGGGTGGTGCGGACCATGCAATGGTGTGGCTTATGGTTTGTGTGGCCTTTTGCTCAGTAGAGAGCCTTGTTTAACAGTCTCTCCTTCCATCAGTTCTGAGCCTAGAAAATCTTGCATGTCAGCAAGGGAGAGGAAACTGAGCTGTGAGCAATCACCCTTCCCCAAAGTTCTCTTCCACAGGGACATGGAAACTCGTCTTGGAGCGCGTGGCTCATTAGGGTCTCGCCTAGGCTGTCGGGTAGCCATCCAAAATCTAAACATACAGATGCAACATTTGAGCTCTGCAAAGTCTATATTTCAAGATGAAGTAGGAGTAATCAGGCCATAAATTTGCTTCTGAAATGATGGCAATGCTAATCTCTCCTTCAGTGTAGGTAGAAGCTATTTTCCACACACACATGCTTTGCTGTGACAAAGTAATGATTACATCAGAGCTAGATGAATGCCTCGGCCCTCTCTGAGAAGTTTTCCATGATTGCTCTGATGTGTGGTAGATATGCCTTTGCACGGTAACCAATAGAGTCGCTCTCATGGGCTGTACTATCTTTTAGGGAGCCCCTAACTGTGGAGCTAGGTGCTGTGTGTCCAGTTTGGAACACATTTATTGCTTTATGCTTCAGCATTACCCTTATTTAGCACTTTCTAACCCGGGGTCTTGCAGTGGTTCACAGTAACTAATAATATGGAGCTACTAGGGAGAGTCCAGTGAAGGGTCACTGATGTGATTAAGGAACTGGAACATCTCTCCAGTGAGGAGAGGCTGAGGGTGCTGGGACTGTTCAGCCTACAGAACAGAAACATTAGGGGACAGCACGTCAACATGAACAAATACCCAGAGGGATTGTGTAAAGAGAATGGAGCCACAAGAGGCAGTGGACACAAACTGAAAAATGGGAGGTTTCTCCTGAATATCAGGAAAGACTCTTCTCTTACTGTGAGGGTGACTGAACACTGTCAGAGAGTTTGTGGGGTCTCCATCCTTGGATATATTAAAAAACACTGCCTGGACATGGTTCTAGGCAACTGGCTATAGGTGGCCCTGCTTGACTAGGTGGGAGTTGGACTAAATGACCTTCAGAGGTCCTTTCCAACCTCAACCATTCTGTGGTTATGTAACCAGGCCTCTGGAAATCTCTTGTGACCTTCACCACTTCAGTTGGGGGGGCTGGGGAGGGAAGGAACTATGCTGCTTTGAAAGTATGTCCTGATTGGAAAGCAAGGGCAGCTTTTGTTTTCAGCTAATTGAGACCTTCCAGAAAATAGTATGGATCCACAGATCTGCTTAATTGTGTCATTCATGCTCACTTTGGACTGTGGCAACCTGCTCAGTGACTGTGCTGGCTGGAACAGGCTTTTCAAAGACCATTCAATGTGCCTCTTACATGTGGAGTTCTGCTATAGTTCCAGAACCGTAAACATCCTCCAAGGCTTTAAGGTCTGTAGCTTATCACACCATCCTTCATATACTCATACATTTTTCTCCATATATTCATACATTTTTACATTCCTCCATTGAAAGCGGATGAACACATCTGCTGCAGTAGGTGCAACTGTCACAAACACTGAGCCTAGCTCATTGAAAGAATTCTCTGATCTTTTTAGAGCAAGCCCAGATGTAGTTGCAGAAAATGTACCAACTTTGGGAACAGCATCAATCACGAGTGTGTTTTTCCAGTTAAAAATTCCCCTATGTCTTTATTGGTCTGGTGGTAAGTTATGATGTCTGTCAAGCATGCTGTCATCAGTGATGTGCTTTTGGTCTGTTTTCCATTTTCAGCCCTTTTAAATAAAGACTTAACTGAATGTGATTTCTGTAGAGCAGCCTGGAAAACATTTTTAACGTACCACTGATTCAAAGTGATATTATTGTATTTGTAGGAGCCTTTCACTGTTGTTTCTACCAAAAGTAACTTAGTCCTTCTCCCTGCCACTGAGCAGGCCTCTAGCAGCTTCCAGTCTGAAGCAGAACTGTCAGATATGTAAGAAAACTTCCTGAAGATTACTTCAAGTTACTAGTTATCATTTATTGCGAAGATGCCTCTCATTCCTGACAAAACACCTATAATGAAATTCTCACTTCTCTTTCTCATATCTTCCTTGCACTGAAAATCTTTAAACATTCTCACACTCTTGTACTATATAAAGGCCCTGTACGTCTGCACCCACCTCTTCCTTTTTCTGTATTTTATCTTTTTAGAACTTAAATGGTCCACGTTGGAGTTCTTCTAGGACACGATCTTGCACCCATGCAACTGATACACTACTTCTGTGAGATTTAAGGATGCAGGAATGATCTGAATAACTGCCAGCTATACATGTGTAGTTGAGTGAGAGAAATGTATATAAATACATAGCTGGGTGAGAAACATCCACTCTCTTTACTGGGGAGGAAAAAGTGAGATGAAGGGGCTAAGCAAGACGGCATTGTATATCAGCCTGAAGACCTAGCTTTGTGGTGGAGCTGCTTTCTCAGAAACATGTACCTAAACTCTCAATGTGATACCCAGTTCTGGATTCATGTTATGGTCTCTATTTTTATTCACAAACGCTATTTTAGAAACTTGCTCACTGTAACACCTACTGAAAGAGGCAATAATGTAAAGAATGGAGGTCTGAAGCAAAGGGGGGTGTTTTCTCTGTGATTTGGGTGCCTGCACAAGGAATCGTGCGAGTGCTCCGATGGTCCCTTTATCAGTTGGACCTCAAAGAAAACTTACAGACTTGCGGAGGATGCAATTATCTTTTGTCAGGAAGCTTTGTTTAAGTCTGCAAGTTGTGGTTGGCACGTTGCTAAATATTACTGTGCTATGTCTTTTTCTCTGATTTTAGTAATTGCATTGGGAAGTCTGTTGAATCTTATGTAACTGGGCTTTTTTTTGGAGGAAATGGGGAATAACCAGCACTTTCTACTAAAAAAAGAGGAAGAACTGAGTTCATGTTATGCCATAAAGAATTTAGCAGTTTTGTTATTATTGTTCTTAAATGGACAGTGGCCCATTTCCTTGCAACAACTTCACAACAGGCACATAGCTCAAAGAAAAAAATCTTGGAATCCTATTTAGGAGTCCCAGTGAGCAGTGGCAGATGTGACCTTAACATAAATAGTAAATACTATATGATTATGATGAACAGAAAACCTAGAGCTATATAAAGTCTCCTAAAGCTTTTCCAGTCATGGCAAAACTGTAGCATTATAGAAGAGCAAAGAAAAATAAACCAATCCCAAACATCCAAGAATTTGCCACATCTGTATCTTTTAAGTCTCTTTTTTTTTTTTTCTTTTTTCTTCTTGCCCATTGAAACTTCTGTTCTGCTCATCCACATGAGTGAGCAGACCAGCAGGGCCTGTAGCAGAACCGTGTCCTGCCTCATTTTGGGAGAGGGAGGAACAGGCAATTTTTGGCCTTCTTGTGGAAGGCAAGCAAATTCTGTGTGGAACTAGATTTAAACTCAGGTCAGGTCTGGCCAGATGTTGGCAATTTTGTCTGTACAACAGGGAAAAAGAGGATCTGTGTGAAAAGCTTCAGCTGAAAGGGCTATCTGCTCCTCTGCCAGGCTGCATCCATAGCCATTCGCAATGCTGTCCTTTCTGCATAGGTATTGGGTTACGCTTACAGCTGTGCTCATATGGTAAATTATGGCTGTGCTGAATTGCTTCAAATTGGCCTTCAGCTCAATTCTGTGCCCTAAAACATGGGTTAGAATCAAATGTCAGCTAATTAAGAAATACCACGTTTTCAGTTTGAACCTTAGTTTGAGAAAGTTCGCTTCTTTCCCACTGTGACTTAATTACTAAAACCAGCTACTGCACGAGTAGGAGTGTATTTAAAAGGTGTGTGGCAGAGGTCCTTACACTAACTTAGGAATGCTTCTAAATGAAGATATATAGTATTATTTAAACAACCAACTATGGTTTTATATCATAATGTACTTCAATTAGTAGAAACAATCACCTGTCAGTTTAAGATTAAGGGACTTGGAAATCCTAGGTTTTGGCTTCATGGCTTAGCGTGTGAATAGCAGTTTGTGCTCAGCTCAGGACTGACTCTACTTCTCCTTAATGTATTCTCTAAAGAATGTTATTTAGTGCTTCATCAGAAGAAGATAGTTTTTCAGTAGGTTTGTGGGTGGTTATTTTTCCCCTTGTAATTCAATACACAATTGAAGAAACCTCTGAATTTTTTTTTTTTTTGGTCTATCTGACTTACAGAATTTACATAATTGGTTGCTCATGCAGCATTTCCCTATTATTCTTTGTGATATTTCTATGCTGTGTGAAATGTCTTAGTAATTTTCCAGGGGCTGTCTTAGCAGTAGTGCTGTGCATGGTCTTTACACTTAGAGCGCTTGCACTTGAATTATTGCATTAGGATGGAGATGCAAGTGAATTGAAGGAAAGCAGAGCTTCTGAGACTAACTGGTGCTCCACCAACTCTGAAACTTCTCTGCAGCTCTGTTTATTTTAAAATCAGCCTAAAGAGATGGTCATGAGGAATGGTTATTTTTAAATCCCTCTTACTTACAAGATACTTAGATATTACAGTCCAGAGGCATGACCATAGCTCTTCTGGACATACCATGGCTAGCTTTACACTACCTGGCCTGGGTTATGGCAGAAGGGACCCTGAGGTGCCCAGGCTCACGTGGGAGCAAAGATGCCTGCTTTCTGGGGGCAGCTAATGCCACTCTGAACCAACTAGTGCAAGTCTGCACCAGTTGGCAGTTTGACTGGCATGAACTAAAATCATCTGACTGCCCCATAGGCATGTGTTGAGCAGAAACAAGATGCAAACCATAGATTGTATCAAATAATACATTGGTCCAAATATCCTTATTTGAGCATAAATAATCTTAAAGTGAGTTAAGAACTGCCTTTAAGGACAGGAAGTGTTAGTTGCTTAATATTGAAGAGTATGTTCAGAACAACTTGTTTGTTTGCTCAGCCATTTTTTTTACAGAACTGACCTTTATTTTTGTCATACTTTTTGGTCACATGACAACCGTATGGTTATAAATAGGGTTTATGAACCTCTCTGCTGTTGGATAGGGTCACATTACCACAGGTGTTTTTTGTTTTTTGTTTTTTTTTTTTTTTAATTATAGACTTGAAATCCCGTGTGTGTGTGCAATATTCTGTGATTAAAAGAAAAGCAAGCAAACAGGTTAGGGGCAAAAGCAGGCTCTGAAATTAAAACATCTCTGTCCTACTGTGTTTCTGTCATGCATTAACATGCTGTTGAAGTAAACAGAACATTATGATGTATTGGTGCGTTCAACAGCACAGCGGGTGCATCCTGCTTGGAGTATTCAGTAGCCATCAAACACTTAGAGCGCTACCTAAATTACCTCCTTTCTTCTTTCCGCAGAAAATAAGCTTAGAATGACCCGGCTCACAAAGCGTATCTGAGTAGCTTAAGACAGTCTTCCCATTTATGATCAGATCAAGCTTGACATACAGTTCCTTGATGCTCTGTCCTACACACAAAGCAGAAGAAGAGCTCAGAGGAAAGTGCAAGGATAAACAGATTTATTATTTTTTTTTAAAAGACCCCCTTTTTTCCCCCCTTGATATTTAAGCCGTTGAATGTTTTCACTGAGAACTCCTGATACATAGAAATCCATGCTTCAAGAGCAGATCTCGAAGTCCCGTAAAGTACATAGCAGGGGACATAATAACATACAGCTTTATTGTTAAATAAACTGTGTTTGTGACCGTTCTCTGACTCTGAGGCCAACTGGCATAGTAAATCTTGTGTCCCTACATCTAAATTTTCCTTCCTATTGTACCTAGCAGAGGGACCATATCCAATGGGCTGCCAGGAGCAGCCTATGCCTGCTGTCTGGGAAAATAGTAGCTGGCCCGAGCCAAACCTGTGCCAGGGACCAGCATAGCACCTTAACAGTGCTGGGAGGTTTGCCTGCTTGCGCCTGGCTTGCTAACATAGATACAGCCAGTGAGGCTACTAGAGGGAGGTCCTGTACTCTGACTTGTTGGAAAAGTGTTTGCAAATGCCTGTAATGTGATTTTGCAGGCTTGTTTAACTTTGCAGCCACCTGAAAACTGATGCTCCCTGGGCAAAAGGGCAGCATATCTTGCAGGAGGGAGACCTTTTGCTTGCAAGAAAGCATTCCTAAATGCTAAAACACACTTGGCACACAAACTCATTGTCAGCACCAGGATCATACAGCATCCTGCACATATTTATGCTCTGGTAGTAGACGTTCTAGGTGAGCTTGAGTCCAGAATGATAGCAAAAACGTGGCTTTCCCATGCAAGGATCACAAAGCAAGTTATGGCTAATATTAACTTGTGCACCCAGCCCATTAGGTGAAATGTAGTTCTGCTTTTGACCTTTTACTGTTGATCAGTCAAGTGCTGAAGGGTTTAATTTCAGCTACCACAGCTGGGGAGCTAATAGCATGACTGTGTGGCCTCAAGCCTGACTGCGTGGCCTCAAGCCACACAGTCATGAGGAGGCCACAAAGATGCTCAGAGGGCTGGAGCACCTCTCCTGTGATGAAAGGCTGAGAGAATTGGGCTTGTTCAGCCTGGAGAAGAGCAGGCTCTGGGGAGACCTTATTGCAGCCTTCCAGTATCTGAAGGGGCCTACAAGGAAGCTGGGGGGGACTTTTTACAAGGGGCTGTAGTGACAGGACAAGAGGTAATGAGTTTAAATTGAAAGTGGGCGGGTTTAGATTAGATATCAGGAAGAAGGTCTTCATGGAGAGGGTGGTGAAGCCCTGGAACAGGTTGCCCAGAGAAGCTGTGGATGGCCCATCCCTGGATGTCTTCAGGGCCAGGCTGGATGAGGCTTTGAGCAACCTGGTCTAGTGGAAGGTGTCCCTGCCCATGGCAGGGGGTTTGGAACTAGATGGTCTTTAAGGACCCTTCCAATCCAAACCATTCTGTGATTCTATGATAAGCTACTACTTTCCCAGCACTCCCCTAGCATGCTTCTCTGCATGCCCAGGAGGGGCGGAGAGGTGCCCCCACCTTGGAGTGGGAGTCCCTACCTGCAAGGGTCAGCCTTGGCAATTTGGCAAGCGCTTCTGGTGCTGACACAAGAGTGTGGGTGCTGTAGGTGTCTCGCTGAACAAGACCCTTCCCAGAACACTTAGCTGGGAAGACAAGCTCTCGAGTAGCCCTCACCTTCACTCCCCATATGTACAAATGAAGGGGCTGAGGGCTGATGCAACCTGCTTAGGGTGACACGTAGTCTGGGGCTGAGTTGATAATAGAACTGAAATTTCTGTAAATGTGCACAAGTTCTGAAATTTCTCATGAATGGGCTTCATTTTTATTTTGTAGGAAGTTGTCATACTTGCTTAATACCAGCACTCACACATGAGTTACTTGTGTATAGCATGAGAAAATAGCAATTCACTTACTTAGGACCATTGCAGCTCTGATGTTAAAGGTGTGGGTTGTGACATCAGAACAACGGTCAATGCTGAAAGCAAAATCTTGCTGGGGATCTGTTTGGAGACAGAAAGCAGTGGGTAACAAGTTGGATTATTAATGAGATAATGACTGTATAGAAGAAAGCAATAAAGTGTAGAAGTTTTTTTATAAAACATTACATATTTCTTAAAAATTCACCAAGATGTGCTCAAAGCTCCCATACCCTGTGTTTAATAGCTACTGCTGTCCTTCCTTCTGCTTCAGTCTGAAGTGTGTTCAGATGATAGCTTGTATGTGGCTAAAAACTACTGTGTGGGAAAATAAGTCAGGTTCAGGGAAAGCAAGTTCCCCACAGTGGTGGGTAGTCAATACTCTTTCAGCAGTGAGGTCTTAGCACAGCTGCTCTAGGCATTGTCAATCCTTCCCCAGCACCGATGAGCAATTGGTCATCGTGATGTGTTTTAATTCATTTGTATCACAAATGGCTTGACGAGGCTGACTAGGGAACTGAATCCTGAAGTGGGATGAAAAGTCCAAAAATAAAAAAAAAACCCAAACCTGTAACTGCAATCCTGCAGTATTTTATGTCAGGTCCACCATCATGTGATATTTCTAACCCAGGAAGTGTTCTACATTTCTCCCTTTCTGGGAGCCTTTAGCAGAGCTGGGGCCATCAAAGGGACCCTTGCAGCTGATGACTGGCATGAACATGGCTCTTACTAGTTCTTACAGTACCCCTTTCTCTGCACCAAGCTCCAAAACTCTTGCACAAACACCGTTGCTTTCCCCCCCACTTCCACTTTCCTCCACGAGGCTCCATACTACACCTGAAGTTTTGCCAGTGTGTCTCTCTGGTGACAGTCAACAGCAACAACTGACAGCTCGGCTCCCATGACCAACAGCACATGAGAGTGTTTTCCAGAGCTGTGGCTGGAGGTGAAAGATTTGGTTGGTTTAGAGGTATGTCATCTTGAGCCTCAAGGCTTGCTTTCGGCATAGGTTTGTCCCTCATGGTGGCTTTCTAGCCAGGCTGTGCATCCAGCTTCCTTCTCCACAGAAGCCAGAGAAGCGACCGCAGCACGAGCAGAAGCAGCCATAGGCTCACCTGTTTACATAGAGCTGGTGGTGACAAAATACGGACTTGGGAATTGAATTCTGTTTCTAAGTTATTGCTGCTTGAGGTAATCGTCTCACTGAATTGAAAATAACGGGTTGGAAGAATTTTCTTTTGATGGTGAAACTTGAGTCACATGTGACCTCTGTGAGGCTGAGCTATTGCCTCCGTAGCCTGACACCGTCTCTGCAGAAGGCTGCACAGCTGTAGGAGCTGACAGGGAGCAAGCCTGTGTGACCAATGCCTAACTGCTTAGTGGGGAGCATGGAATGAATGAAAGTGCTGGGAGGAGCTGGGGGTTCTAACTAAGCCAGGTTCTGCAAGCACATGGATGGTCAGTGTGGTCCAAAAGAAGCTCCTGAGTTCTGGTAAACTAAACTAACTGTCTGCAGCTATATCACGGGTATTTCCTACAGATCTGTGTCCCTGAGCTGGGTTGTCCTCCACACTGCTAAAGCAGTCTCTGCAGTTGAATGATCCACTTGGGACAAAAAGTTAGTGCCTTGAGTTGTTTATTGGCTCAAGTGTGATAAGAACCAGAGGGTTGTCTTTCCTCACTTTCCATATTCCTGTCAGTTCTAGCATTGTTATTTCAGCTTCAGAAGCTGTTGCAGTTGGGCAGGAGAGCAGTTTCCTGCTCCAGGCGGAAAGTGGGTCAAACTTCTCTTTTCTCCAGGACCGTTATGCCTGCTTCCTCTCTGGTTGCTACCACCCCTCAGGGCTTGGTTTCCGCTTTCCTCTGGACTTCTGCAAGAGTTCCTCTCATCTCTGTTTTGCGTGTGGTGTGATGATAAGGTTCAGGAAGCAGCTGCTCAGATTCAGAGCAGCTTGGGCATTGGTGCCTACAAACAGTGCTGGTTGTCAAATGACTAAAACTGTCGGCTCTGCAATTTCCAGAGGGAGCTATTGTAAAAAAATGGTACTGCGACATATACGATGCTCTTTTCAAAGACACTAGGCTGTGCTTTAATCAACCAATTAAAACATAGTATTAGGGCTAGAAGCTGAAGTTTTAGTTCAAAATTTCTCAGCAATAACTGTCGGCATGAAAAGGGAATGTTCACGGAACCAAGCTTTTCTGGAAAGCCTGGGCTTTTTATGATGAACATGACCTTAGGGTTGTTCTAGTTTGGATGTCTCATGCCTGTTGAACTCCTTTGCCAGATGATATATTTCATGCTGTGTTGTAGCCATGGCTGTCTACCGCTGCACTAGATGATGCAGCACAGGACTCTGGTCTGTCTAGAGAAGTGTGGAAATGCTCGCATGAGAAATTCCAGCAAAATTTGTGAATTAAAGCACTTGGATTTTGTGTCATTACCCTGTTTCTGAGAAATTTAAACTTTTCCTCTGGCAGAAAAACCCCCAAATAATTTTCTGACCATCTCCCTGTGGAGGCTATGGCACTGCAATCTATCTTAGGTATTGTGGTGGACATGGGCACCTCTTGCTAAAATCAATTGGAAGGATGGTTGCGTTGCTAAAGCGATGGTGCCAGGGAGTCTGCCTTCCAAAACACCTAAGCAGAAAGGTTGTTGCTAAATGGAAATTAAAGAAAATAGTGTGTTTTAACCATTTGGTAAGTGAAAATGTCTGTAAATTCAGCTGTGTACTATGAACTACGGTATTGTGCCATACCCCTCTTTCTTTAAATGTTGAGGAGTCCCTCATGCAGCAAAGGCAACTCGAGGCAATTGCCATTTTTGTGTTTCATCTCAGATGCACAACTGTGAGTCTCTGTGTGTCTCTTATGGAGGTTTAATACTTACTCTTCCTTGTTTGCCTCAATCTGAAGTGAGCTGGTTAGACTGAAAAAAAATACATGTTATGTCTTTCACATGTGCAGAGCAATAACATTTACCGTTAAATCTCTAAAATACGTGGGGCTGCCCTTCAGCCTTCCACTTCCCTGCAGCATTTCATAGTGCACAGTACTGTATGTTCCCAGACTTCCCTCCACCCACTCCCTTCAATCTGCTCCTTCTTCCATAATTAAAGCTAGAAACTCTTCAACTGGTTGCAGAGTTTTGTTTCTCCAGTTCAGCTTTGATACATTACCAACACTTAAAACGTTGCTGGAAACTTTGCAAACACGTTGAGGTTTATCAGTGAAAATTTGCTTACTGTGGGAGGGAAATGGGGCGCGTGTGTGTGTGTCTGGTGAGAAGGGCTTGGGCTGCAACATATTTACAGAGAGCATGAACATGCTGGGGAGCAGGATTTTGACTGAAGTTTTTCTCTAGGCAGTCCTAAGTCTTTCAGGCGTCTGCTCGCAGGAGGAGACAAGTCTTTGGCTTTCATAAACAATCAATGCACTCTGAGATCTCTTAGACCTGTTATGTGAACTTGATGCTGTGGCTAATGCAGAGCTCTCAGCTGTATCTAGCACAATGTGCAGCTCTCACTGAAGACCAGCTTCTGTAGTATGATCCTGCTTTGAGAGAGGTACGTTGGGGATGTACCTGGCATCTTGCCACTAATCATCCCATACATGGCACAGTGCCAGCTGACCCTGTGCATCCCACCTCCTGGTTCACCCTTACCCAAGTCCCCAGGTGGAGATTTATTGCTATATTGGATTAGTATGTGGTTTTCTTTTGCATATGACTTCTAGTGGCACCCTAGGGCAAGATTTCAGCCTGGCTTACTACTGCAAGGTACTCAACAGAGATTAATTTGGCTGGGCTTTTCTAGAAGACTGAGCAGACGTGCGTAGTGCAGCCTAGAAGCTCAGGTTCCTGAACTTCCTAGAGTTTCTTGTTCTCGGTGGAAAGTTCATAGGTAAATTAGCTCTGACATGTTTACAGTTGTGCATCTGTATGACCCTCCTGGCTGCAAGCCTTGTACGTCTGATGGAGATGATTACCCCAGTGACGAGGACAACAGATGGGAACATACTTCCATGCCTGAGTTGCTGCAGTTGTGGGACCTCCAGCTCATGCTCCTGCTG